TTGCTGTTATTATTTTAATTTTACTCTTATCTTACCATTATTTCCAATTATTTAATTGGTTTTTTTTTATATTAAAATATTTTATTTTTTCTCAATTTGCAATAGCTGTTCTTACCTGATTCTGTTGGAAGGGAGTGTCTGTACAGCAATAGTTTTATATTAAATTTCAATTTAAATTTTCTTTGCAAGACACTCACTTTTTGACAGAATTCAGGGATTTAATATTCCAAATATTGGTGAACCTGATACTGCCTTATTCTTTTGTGGGTACCTACTCCACATAAAGATCACTGTTTGGAGTCTGGATCAGCTGGAGTGACGTCACCCCAGCAATCTGTCCTCTTCCTGGATACAGGAAACAACACGAAGAGCTCCAGTTGGCGAAAGTGAAACCCCAACACCCATTGAAGAGCTCCGGATTGGAAAGGTACATTGTGTCAGATTCACCAGGAGTGCGTTCAAAGACGGCAATGCTAATGCCAAAACTTACTATTCCCCTTCTACCGGCGATGCCAAATCTGGTGTGAATTCGCTGGAACGCCAAATACCGTTTCTCAATAAGCAATCCAAACCACGTGACATTCAATGGCGTGGCGACCATACATGGACCAAAAAACACAAAAAATATCTAGTCTCTGCCCGACTTAATAGGTTACGTAATTAGTTAACAAATATTTTATTGAATAATCAAAATCGAAGCTGCAAACAAACAAAATGATTGAAATATGCATGAAAACACATAACTTGCTGGTCGCCACGCCATATTGAATTTGGTCTCATCCAATCAAAATTCGTATAACCATTTCTAGACTCAGTTGAAAGAGCCTCCAAAAGTTACTTTACCGCGGCCGATTTGGAACGTGTAAAGCCAACCGTTTTTGGCACGCTGGAGCCGAACTTGAACGCAATCTGCCAATTTTGGCTCGGCTTCAGCCGTTTTTGAACGCAGCCCAGAACAACCAAGCTGTCAACTGTAAAATTTTACAGAAAGTAACATTTACTGTCTGATTGACTGTTACTACATGTTTTAAAGAAAGTGGGATTGTCACTATATTGTAAACACAGAACTTAAATATCAAATAAAATTATTGCTTGTTGGATTTTGAGTGGTTTCATTTGCACATAAAGGGACTACACGTTATCTCAATTTTTTGAATTCCACGACCCTAGGTTCTCTTATCTTAAAGTAACAAAACTTCAATCAATTTGTAACAAACGTCAGTACGAACGCTGAAAACGGATTCAGCAAAGGTGCTATGCCTACTCAGTCTTACTGCTTACTGCAGGTCCATATCCATGCGCCTCCGATGAAGTACTCAACGTTTATTAATGAAGTATTCTGGAGCTTGTGGATAATGCCAGCCTGACTGACTATTCTCTCGATTTCACTACCAAATTTTTGCAGCATCTCTGTGTGCTCTCCACCTGGATCTGATACATCTGTCGCAGGCATATTCTGCAGAACTTTGAGTGCCTTTTCGTCTAACTTCAGTACCAATTCTGCTTCTGTTCATCCCATCCATTCGCATTGGCAACAGCCTCAAAATGTTGTACATGTACCATCGTCACCAAAAGTAACTGGGACAGCATCACATTAGCTCTTGTCCTATTATATGAATTTTGTTGTCAAATATTTGTCAAACTATGCATTAAATGCATTGAAATGAATGACAGTAGAATTAGTCCAGGAGATTATTATGCATTATTTGTGTCCCAGTTACTTTTGGTGACGATGGTACATGGCCCAGGATACTGGATTCATCGAGAATTTTCATCATCTTTTTTTTTCCAGTTTTTTTCTTAAATTTCTACACCAATATTCGCGTAACTAAGCGTGTTCGTAAATAAGTGAGACTACTCTTCCAAACTTAATTTACGTTTATTCAAGACAAAGATGGGTTAGCTTGGGTAACCCAAACTTGAATAAGTATAGAACAGAAACACTAGCAAATAATTTACCACTGACTGACCCTGACAAAATGATCTCTATAATGCATGCATCAGTTGAGACTGGGCAACGGTCAACTAGGAAATTACCTACTTAAACGTAACTTCTGGAAGGCAGACTTTGACAGCATTTATGTCTATATTATTAACAGGCTTGCTGGCACAAATACAGACAATATGGAATTCAGTGAAGTTGAGAGCATAGTGAAGGAAACCTTTGAAACCCATATCCCACTCAAACCTAAGCTTGTGAATCATGAGAAACCACGGTTAAATAATGCAATATTTAGAGCAATCGGAAGAAAACGAACACTTTGGGAGAAATACGCCAAGAACAAAACAGCAGATAATTACAATTTGTACAGAACTCAAAATAACAGCTTAAAGAACACAATCAGGGCAGTCGATAGAATACGAGAATGGTCTCTAGAACAACAGCGACGAGAAACAGTTTTACACGTATGTTAAGCGAACATTAAACAGCAACGCATCCGAGCTTGTGCTCAGAAAACCAATCAAGGGAGTGATTATCTCTAATCCTTAGAAGACAGCTAATACATTCACGGATCACTTTGTGAAGGTATACACCAGAGAAAACCTAGTTAATTTTCCATCGCTATTGCAGAATACTAGATCTATCGAATCATTAACAACCATAGATATCACTGGGGAAAAGGTTTTTCAAGCAATCTCTACTCTGAAAAGAGAATCTAGTTCAGGCCCGGATGAAATACCGGCAAAATAAATTGCCATAGGACGTTGGCTCCAGTGATAACCGGCCTCTTGTAGTCACTTATCACTCAGCAAACTGTGCCACAGAGATGGTCTCGAGCATACGTAGTGCCAATCTACAAACTACAAACTACAAGCTCAACCCTGGAAATTACAGATGAATTAGCCTTACGTGTAACCTCTGCAAGATCATTGAAAAAATATTAGCTCAGGAAATGACATCTTTCCTTGGTGAAAACAAGACCATCCCACCCACCCAACACGGATTTCTCCCCTAATGATCTACCATAACTAACCTACACCTGCATACATGCATAAACTCATGGACGGAAGAAGTAGACAGTGGCCATCCGGTGGACGTACTGTACCTAGACTATGACAACGCATTCGACAAAGTAGCATTCAAGAGGTTATTATTCAAACTGCAACACTTTGGAATCAGGGGTGAGCTCCTCGGATGGATAGGCAGTTTTCTACAACACCGCACCTTTTAATAAATACAAGATATTTAGTGGGGTGCCACAGGAATCGGTGTTGGGCCACTGCGTATACATCAGCGATCTTCATTTTCTTATAGAGACAAACATCATTTTTTATGCTGATGATACAAAAATGTACTGCAATCCGTGCTTGGAGCATCACAACCTTTTAGACGACCTGAAAACATCCGAGAAATGGATCAGCGAATGGCAGCTAACACTCAACTCCGACAATTGCACTGTACTGCACATTGACTGTAACAATCCAAACATACCTCACAGCTTGAACGGCATTACCGTGAAGGCTGTTACTGAGCAGAAAGATCTGGGTGTCATTATCTCAAATCACCTAAAACGGGAAGCCTATATTTATTCAGTTGTCAAGAGGACAAACTCTTTTGTATTGACAGGTTTTATCCATCCTCATGATTAGCAAAATATATAAAACATATATCAGACCTAAATTGGAATTCGCACATTCGGTTTGGAGCCCATACCGGGTTAAGGACATTGAGATCTTGGAAAGTGTCCAGCGTAGAGTGAAAAAACTCCCCCCTGAAATCAGAAATCTCTCATACGAAGCAAGGCATTCCTCAGATACGACATAACAACCCTAAAAGCTAGACGAGAGAGAGGGGATTTGATTGAGACGTACAAAATCTTAAATAGCCATAATTCTTCACATTTGCAACTGGATATTTTCAGTCTAAATACTAACCAGCAACTCCGACGCCATACTGAGAAGCTGGATAAGCAGATATGCTCAAAGCTGATTGGAAAGAATTTTCTGAAGAATAGGGTTGTCTATCAGTGAAACGCCCTTCAGGAAAGCACAGTCAGTGCTCCTTCAAAGAACGTATTCAAAAACAGATTTCACCGGGACTGAATTTTGTGTATAACATGTGACTCATAACAGTGAAACCAAGGATATAACAATACAGCAGTAGTCACATCGGCGTTGCCGCTTAGTGCTGATCAAACCCATAATAATAATAATATTAATAATAATCAATTATTAAGTTGTTGCACACCGGCAGGTGTTGTTTCTAACTGTAAAGCAGAATTAAAGTCGAGTTGCCTAAGATATGTATGAACACTTCGCAACTTTAATTTTTCAGAATTGGGTTCCTCTATAACTTATTCACATTTCCTCCTAGTCCTGATATTTTCATACAAGTGCTCATGAAGGAAAAACCATCAATAGAGTAGGGCTTCTCTCATCTACCTTAGATTTTACAATAAGTGCATAGTGTCGAATAGCGAACTTCGTGCAAAGGCATATAAAAAAAAAACTCAGTTTTTACGGTCCCCTGATTCCGGAGATATTCAATTTTTTGAAATAGGCTTTTCGCCATGTCAATTTGACCGAGATCAAAATTTTGAAAACAATGTAATCCAGACACCTGTACATTGGCTTATGTAACTTTTCACTGTCGCATAAATAATTTTCCTAAACATCCAATACAGATAATTTTTGCTACTTGACTCAACATAAATTCCTAGTTTGTTTCCTCTTTCAATTCAAAAAAGATGTGGAATGCTAATTTAAAATTCCCGAAGCGTTCGCCAGAATTTGTGTGCCGGTCAGTGCCGAAATTTCAGAATACGACAGCGATGAACACTATTACTTTTGTCTACATTATTCAGCAGCTGATTCTCCTGTTTGTTCATACATGTATTGTGGAGTTCGATCCAAATTGGAAACAATCTCCACCCGGAATAATAATTGTTGACGAGCAATTGTTTCGTATTACGTTTGATAAAAATACCAATACTATGTACACTAAAGATACTGAATTGTTGGTGGCGCACATCTTATCATAAATAAATGACAATACGTACCCCTTTCAGCTGTCAACTGCTTCTCAGGTAGCCTCAAAGTAGACGCTTGTAAAATAACAGGCTCGCTTCGTCCTTTCGAGTTGTATGCAAAAACTACGGCTTGGTATTGTGCTCCGGGGTCCAAATTGTTGATGGAAAATCTGGAGATTGGCGAGGTTATGTTGTTTATAAGCTCTTGAGAGTGACTTTCTTTGAGCTAAAATATATGGAACAATCAATTAAACTAGTGAGAAAAATACACATCATTATCTGAAAACTCTTATCCCTAATATGAATATCTATTACTACAATCTTTAATTATGTCCAGCAAAACCCTCCTTCTCCCCGAGTTTCCTAATTTACAAAACTAAAAGATGAATTTGTCAAAAATATTAACAAACCAGACACTCGAAATCGGCATAAAAGATAAAATAGCTGTAATCTAAAACAAATTACACGAGAAAGTTTGTCAACGTAGCGTTTACTCCCGGATGACCATTTTAAATCCTTCTTAAAAAGTTTTCTACTTCCTTCGGGAATTTAAATTACGTTTCGCTTGACAAGTTGACTTGGACATTTTTCTGTGTTTAATCGAAATTTCATTGGAAAGTTATTTTGGTTCGAAGAAAAGAACCGGAGATAGAGAAATTGGAACATTTGAACTTGTCGGAAAATAGAGTTACTTAGGGAAATTATGTGGACCTTGCATAGCTTTTTTGTAATTGTCTGAATTAAATTATTCCGTTGAAATTTACCTCTAATGAAAAAGCTTGTGTTAATCCTCCATTGAATCCTTCTGTACATCTTATTTGAAATGAAGTCATCGATATATTGAGAATGGTGCAGTTGTGGACCTGATCTGGACGACCTGCAAATAAATACATCTATTTGAGATTCTCGTAAAGTTGTCAATTTTTATCACCAAGCATTTTACCGTGTAAAAAGTAAAAAGTGTTACCCTAAAAGGAAATTTTGCACTTGAGCGACTGGTAAAAACGACAGAAAGTCTTTGTGACCATGTAGAGGTGTAAAAAATTTCACAGCCTCTTACTGTACCCATTTCGAGGGTTTTTCGTTATTTTGTGGCTTATTTTGCTTATGACTTTCCTGTCGCGAGTGTATGGAGCTGTAAAATGGGATATTCCTCGTTTTATTGGTGTCTAGAGTACACGGTTTTCCGTTTAAAATAAAGTAAGTTTGACTATACAGAATAAAGTGGAAATTTGTAGAAAATACAATTTTATTGGGATTAGAAACAAATTTCGTGCAAGCCTTGTATACCTCAGAGACTTATTTGTCATGAAATCGTTTACCTTCATTCTCCCTTCAAAAGCTTCCGATGTTTTTGCAAGGCAAGATAGATTGCTTCGAATTCTCATATATTTTACTGAAGAAGTGCGTAAGAAAAATTTCCAATGTGTTATCTACATTCAATCTTTTGTCAGTTTTCTTTATTGATCGTCTTTTTGTTTGCTCATACAGGTTTGGATTTAAATATTTGGCTCGAAAATATGAAAATAAAATAAATACTGGTATGGGGTGTTTAAATTATAAATACATAATTATTAGATATCAATCGAAAATTTACTTAATACTTATGATGTATGAATGGCATTTCTGAATAAGTAATATTTATTCTTAGATTGAAGTTACAGATCCTTTGCTCAAGCATTCTGCGAGAAGTTGAAGAAAAAAAATCTCACTTTGCTGCAAAAAGTTGGATCGATATAATTTTTTTTTTTCAAATATTGTGATGGGAATAGTCATTTGTGTAACTAGAGCAAAAAGTGTAAATTTGCAACAGTTATGTATTTTAAACTAAAAATACTGTTTTTAAAAATCAATTTTATTTCGAAAATTAGAATAGAGTGTTCTAGCCTAAAGCTTAGTTAAATGAATAATAACTTTAAACGCATGAATAAAAATATTTATAAGCTCTGGTTTGCTGAGTCTGCTTCTAGGTAATGAAAAACAACTCTGCAACTTTGTTCACATAACTCCTCCCGCCGAAGTCGAAAACAATACGGATTGAGATTTGTTTTCGGATTTCTGGATAATTCTTTCTTGAATGACTTCACAAAGTTAGGTACCTCTTCTTTTGTAGAGTTGCCAAATTACTGTTCGAGCGATGATGATGAGAACCAACGTGGTACATATGCTAGCTATATTCCAGGTAGCCGGATGGATAGCTTCGGGTTTGACGGGAATCAGTTATTCCGATTGTTTCTGGAGATCCTTGATTTTAGCTAGATCTTAGGAATTCAATTTAAGATTGTTTTGTTCCTTATCGGTGACGTCAATGTTTCGATTTTGATTGGAGGTAGAGAAAGAGGTCTGCCTTCGATTGACTCTTCCTTGTCCCAGATTTGGATGGTTCCAATAATTTGGAATTTCAATTCAGCTCGGATTATTCATAAATGCCTTCATTTTTGTGGCACAGCTTCTGCATTTTAAGGTTCGTTATTAGGTAAGGTGAATTTGGAATGAAAATCGTATTGTGGATTGGAACGGGAATTAGGTGAAATATTTCAAATAGGTCTTCTCGAAAGATTAGGGAATGAATAGTAAATATTATTATGTATTTAGAGAAATTTACTTGTAGTCCGGCTATTTGATAATAATATCTCAAATTCCCAAAACTTTGCAATGGACTCTTTCACTAATTTTTGAAATTGGCATATTTGGATAAAGCAACTAAAAACAGAATTTTCTGTATTTTTACTTTTAAAAAATTTATAGTCCTTCTTGAGAAAACAGAAAAAAAAAGAAATACCTGCAAATAAAAACCCAGAATTTATTTCTATGACGTCGCAGCTCGCAATTTGACCGTGTTGCCACTAATTGTCAACATTGAAAATTTGTAATAGATTTAATTCTGAAATTGTTCGCAAAATATCATGAAAAATAGTTAAATTAATTAGTTATGGATTCAAGATTTTATAACTTTTTCATTGAAATTATGCTTAAACACAATTTAATACAATTTTTTATGTTTAGTTTTATTTATTTTTTTACGTTGCACTACATTTAGTCACCACCGACAACAGCGCATTCGAACCTTTACCTGCTTTTACTACAGGGTACACAGCCGAGGCGGTCAGCTCCTTGCAACAACAAGCGAAATGAAAAATATTTATGTGACGTCAGCAAATCGGCGCGTTTCAAATCATTTTGAATTTCGCCAATTTCAAATGCCTGTAAAAAACTTATTTAACCTTGCAGAACATTTTTTTTTTATATATATGCCTAAAATAGTACCTCCTTTGGGATTTTATACTTAAATTAAGTATTTAAATTTTAGTGAAAGAGCCCATTTTACTTTCACCATATAGAACAGTCAAATTTACAATAATTTGTTCTAATTCAGAGGTGGATATTCCTGCCGTGTGCAATGTGTTCAATTTAGCAAACATTATTGCATCCTCTAAATTATCTAAGAACGTAATCAGGTTTTGACAATTAAGAATTATTTGAAAAATACTATTTTGTGCTTTCAAGGAAGTAGTTAGATCAATATTTCTTTTATTAAAATTTTGTTCTATGGTTGAAATGTGATTTTTAATTATTAATTGATTTCATTGAAAAGAGTTATTTTATTTAAGTATTCAAAATCTTCCTTTAATGACAATAATTCATTGTATAGGAAAAAGTCAAATACATAGACTTACAAACTAAAACTTAATAACCTATATAAAAAAATATCACAGTTTGAAAATAAAACAATAATAGTAACAAATAATCCTCGAAATAATCAGACGCATTATAAAAACAGCGTTCTACCAGGAATAATTTCAGTTTTTGTTTAAATTCTTTTTTCTACAAACGTGTTAAAAATGCAATTTTTAACACCCCCTTGTAGCATTAAAAATGTTACTTTATCGCACTAGTACCATAAACTCTTTATAGCACTAGTGTTAAAAATGAAACATCAAATTTTGAAAGCGAACGTCAAAAAAAGTTTGTATTTTTAGTTATTTACATTGATATTAATGGTGAAATTTGAACAACTGAGGTAGCCCGATTGGCCGCCTCATCTATATTTTTCAAGGGATCGATGCAACCTTCTTTTTCTTATGTATTTTGTTGTATTTTTAGCAAAAAGCATTACTGACCACGACAGACTTTCAAGAAACTGACAAGATATTTCATTACCTGTAAAACAAGGTGCTGGTCTCTGGTTGTTTGGATTTTTTGACAAATGTCAAATTCAATAATTTTATGTAGGAAAGATGGTTTCATTTTATTATCCCATTTTGACGTTTAAAAATGACATTATTGACCGCATAACAATAAAGGTAAGTAGACGTTTGTCACCTCAGTGATTTAAAAACATTTTAACTCACTCTCGGCATTTTAAGTCACTCTGCCTAACTAAAAATCTGAAACCTCAGTGATTTAAAATATTTTCAACTCACTCTCGGCATTTTTCCTTGTACTTTATTTTTCAAATATCCACAAAATGGGATAAATATTGTATACATCACGTGAGTTAAAATGTTTATTCCTTCGAAGAAAATTAACCCACTCGCTAGGGCTCGTGGGTTAAACTTTCTTCTCATGAATAAACACTCATTTAACTCACTTGGTGTATAAATAACTATTATTCATTTAAAAATCGAATTTTGTAACTGGTTATTGCTTTTTATTGCCGTTTGTAGAAAAAATATTGTATGATATTTGTGTTAAAAGTATTTTTAAGGCACTTATGTAAATTGCAGAATTCGCTTCGCTCATTCTGCAAACTTTCACATGCGTGCCTTAAAAATGTACTTTTAACACTTATATCATAAATAACTATTAAAGTGGGTGACAACTTTATATTGTCCGGTAATTTATTATTAAATTTAGGTCCCGACTTATTGGGAACTCGATGTGACAATTTACTTTCACTAAAAGCCATGGTCGACCAACCCCAGAGACAGATACCATATCTAAGTCTTGATTCGTTATTGCTATAATAAATTGTTATTAGTTGCTCTATATTTAAGACTGTCTTTAAGTTTCTTAAGAGAAAATTTTGTGTGCTCAATGTGGTTAATAATCTTTGACAATGCGATTTCCAGTCAAGGGCACTATCAAGGTGTAGTCCCAGAAACTTCACATTATCATTTGACTGATCAATAGTTATGTCATCTATTTTCAACTTTAAATCCAAACAGTTTTTTTGCGGATGATGAAATCTAATAAACTGTGTTTTCCAGCACTCAAGAACACTGAGTTTTCTGCAAATCACATGCTCATATCTTTTAAAACATCATCTGAGGTATTTTCAAGTTGTTGGCGATCTTGGTAAGATACGATCACTGATGTGTCATCCGCAAAAATAGTAAATAATGCATTATTATCAATTTTATCAAGATTATTTCTATGTAGTGAAAACAACGCAGGACCCATAACAGAGCCCTATGATACACTAACAACAGTACTTATCGATTCTGAACAAACATTTTCCCTATGGTCTTTTGGATTTAGGTATTTTATGCTGACATATTGCCGTCTATCAATCAAGAACGAACTGACTCATTGCAAGGCCGCTCCCCTAACACCGGCTCCAAGCCAACTGTACTAAATAGTGGAGCTATCTGGTACACGGATAGCTTTAGAATGGTTAACAGGTCGGGGGTAGGTTTTTGCGGGGAATCCCCTAAAATTAGTAAATTCTTCTCTTTAGAGGAACACGCTACTGTTTTCCAGGCTCAAATTTTCGCTATAATGGAGTGTGGTCGGGAAATTTTGAACCGGCGCCACAGAAATGCGGTCGGAAAATCTGCTCCGACAGCGGAGCCGCCATCAAAGCCATTATGGCTGATACTGTTCGGTCTAAGCTTGTAATGGAGTGCAAAAAAGTGGTTTGAGAACCTGAGCTGG